GCTATATTCAGCTATATTCAGTCATGAATAGATCTCAAAATTTATTCCTCTTTTATTAAAGCCATACACCTTTTGAGCCCTTTCCAAACTCTGGAAGCCACCATTCTACTCTCTACTTCAATGAATAAGTCCTATAATTCATGAGTTCATTTCAAGACTCTCTAGTGTTTCCATTGGTCCATGTATCTGTTTCAATGTTAATATCTGTTTATTTTAAACATAATAGCATTGTAATATATTTTGAAGTGGTTAGGGTAATATATCTAACTTTCTTCTTTTTGTTCAAGTTTGCTTACTTATTTCAGACCTTTTATGGTCATATTCCCATAAAGGTTTCAGAACTGTTTTTGTATTTCGGTGAAAAACATCATTGAACTTTGGATACAGATTGCATTGTGGTATGGACATTTTAACAATATTAATTCTTCTAATGGGAGAATGTTGATTACTTTCTCATTTATCTGTGTCTTCTTAAATGTCTTTTCACAATATTTTATAGTTTTCAGTATACAGATTTTTTAAAACACTTTAGTTAAATTTATTTCTAAGAGTTATTTGCTATTATAAATAGGATGTTTCATGATTTCTGTTTTGGTAGTATAATGTTGGTTCATAGAAAGTTAAAGCTGAATTGAAGACTCAAGCTTATAATCCTATCTACTTGGGTAAGACTTGTGTAGAACCATCTGAATAATGTGTATTCCAATGAATAATGATGAATAAGTGTTGAATTTGGTTTACTAGTATTTTGTTGAATATTTTTGCGTCTATGTTCATCAGGGATACTGGCCTTAATTATCTTTTCTTGTAGCATCATCGTCTAGCTTTACTATCAGAATTATGATGGCTTTGTATTTTCTCCTTTTTAAAGTTTTAGAAAATTTTAAGAATGGTATTTGCTCTTAACATTTGGTAGAATTAAAAAAATGAAAACACTGATACTTGGATTTTTTTTGGTGGGAAACTTTTTTTTTTGTGGCCATGGGCTTTTGAGCTCTGGCCCTGGGGGCTGTCTTTGAGCTCTTTGGCTCAAGACAGCACTCTAAACTTGAGCCACTTCCGGTTTTCAGGTGGTTAATTGGATGTAAGCATCTCATGGACTTTCCTGCTTGGGCTGGCTTTGAACCATGATCCTCAGATCTTAGCTTCCTAAGTAGTTAGGAATACAGCATGAGCCACTGGCACCTGGCTGGAGGGAAGCTTTTTATTACAGATTCAATCACCTTATTAATTATTGGGCTGTTCCAATTTTATTTATATGTATATTTATTTATATATAAATTTATTTATATATAATTATATATAATTTGTGACCACAAACCATATATATATATATATTTTTACAGATTTATGGAAAAAAAGATTCATTCTCACTGTAGATCTTAGCAACCTGAGCATACAACTCTCTTTCATTACCTAATAACCTGAGAATTTTTGATTTGGCATGAAAGGAAGTACTTTAAGTATAATATAATTCCAATGTCTCAATGATTTTTTGCGGGGGAAGGGGGTCTGTTTGGAGCTTGAACTCTGGGCCTGGGCGCTGTCCCTGCGTTCTTCAGCTCAAGGCAGGTGCTCTACCACTTGAGCCACAGCACCATTTCCGGTTTTCTAGTGGCTTATTGCAGATAAGAGTCTCAAGGAGTTTCCTGCCCGGGCTGGCTTTGAACCGAGATCCCCAGACCTCAGCCTCCTGAGTAGCTAGGATTACAGGCGTGAGCCACTGATGCCCGGATGTCTCAATGATTTTTCTGTCTGGATAATCTTTGCAATGCTTAACATAGGGGAGTAAAGTCTCCTAACAAAGTGTATTTTCTTTTTTAAGTGTAAAATAAAGTCTGTTACAATTTGTTTCATTTAGATTTTGCCTCATATATTTAGGATATATTTGCCTTAAGTATTTAGCTGTTCCAAGGTTGAATGTATACGTGTTTATAATATTATATTATTTTTAAAGTGTGGCAATAACTTTTTCTAGTGCATAGTAGGATTTCACTAAGTATTTTTATGTGTGTGCCAGTACTGGGCTTTAATTCAGGGCCTGGGTGCTGTCCCTGAGCCTTTCTCCCCCGTCTTTGCTTAAGGCTAGCATCCTACTACTTAACTCATTTTCAGCTTTTTGGTGATTCATTGGAAATAAAGAGTCCCAGGAATTTCCTGCCTGGTCTAGCTTCAAACTGAGATCCTTGAATCTCTTCTGAGTAGCTAGGATTATAGGAGTAAGCCACAGGAGCCTGGCTACTAAGAGCTTTTTTTAAAAAGAATAAACTGTCGGGGATGGGAAGGTGGCTCAGTGGTAGAGTGCTTGCCTTGCATGCATGAGGCTCTGGCTTCGATTCCTCAGTACCACATAAGCAGAAAAAGCTGGAAGTGGTGCTGTGGATCAAGTGGTAGAGTGCTAGTCTTGAACTGAAGAGTTGAGGGGCAGCACCCAGGCCCAGAGTTTAGGCCACATGACCATACCAAAAAAAAAAAAAGAATAAATTGTCATGTTTAGGCTCTCTTCCCATTTTCTTTTTTTTTCCATTTAACATACAGTTTTATTTGTAATATGTGCTGCCAAGAAACTCTTACTGACATTTATTAGCCTCTTTTAATATTTAACAAATCCAGCTTCCAAATATTTTACTTGTAGGCCTGAGGTTAAGTTTTAATTTATATGTTCTGAATCATCAAACTAACATTCTTTTTTATTATCATGGGCAACAAAGAAACAGTCATTTTAGAGTAGGGGTACAAATAACAATACTTTTTTCCACTATGCAAACTTCTAACTCAGTGTAACAAAGTTCATATTCCACTCAATAAACAACAGTTTTCAAAAAAAACCAAAACTGTCTTGCATCACATTCAATACCTTATATGGATGACTTCAGTTTACTATCAGATAACTCTACAGAGTAGGGTACTAATATCACCACCATTCCTCAGATAAGGAAATTAAAGCTTTAAGAGGTTAAGAAAACAAGATGGACAATTCTTGGTTGCCTCAGAATGAAGCACATTAGAAACTGTGCAGAGAAAGCACACCAGGTAAGGAAAGTTGCCCCAGGATTTCAGGGGCAGTGAAGGTGATCAGAGAACAAAATAAAAACAGTTTGGGGGTGGAAACACAGTTAGGATCCATAGGTCAGGAGTATGACAGAGAGTATTGATCCACCTGTGTCTCCAGCACAGAGCCACAAACATAATTTTATCTTTAAGTAATTATAATTATTTAGAAATAATAAAAATAAATTTATACCCACATTAAACAACAAAACAAAGAACTTAATTAGCTGATCCCTCCAATGGAGTATTGATGAGTGGAAGGTTCCTCTGAGAAAGCAAGCCTGGGAGGTGAGAAAACATACTTCCATGGACCATACAAGGGTTTCTTCCCATTTTCATTTAATCAATATCAGAGCTAGGCATGCCATCATGGGAAGGAAGTAAGATATTGCCTTTTAATATAGGGGAGGCTTGTATAGACATACTGAATAACAATACAAACATCTTCAACTTATCTGCCCTTTGTTTTGTTTCTACAATATACTGTGTGTATTGCTAGTGTTGTGCTTTTGTCATTATGACATTATTAGTTTATTAATCTATCACCCTGAACTCTGAGCACACTGGTATAGGTAGCATGTTATTTATCTTTGTTATCTAGTATCAAGCAGTGACTGGCTTATCAAAGGTACCCAAACCCCAATTACATAAAGGACTGACAGATCAATCTTAATAAGTGTACAAAGCTACACTGTCAATAGCAAAACCTAAAAACTAAACAAAACAAACTTTCAAAACTCCAACCCCCCAAAATGTTAACATCTTCTTAATTTGACATTTTAAACAATCTAACATGAATTCTACCCATTTAAACAAGAAACTAAAAGAAAAAGTACATAAATGGTATAATAACACATGATAATTTCTGCCTTCAAAAATTTACAGAGATAGCCGGGTGGTCATAAATGTAATCCTCACTACTCAGGAGGCTGAGAACTGAGGATTGCGGTTCAAAGACAGCCCAGGCAGGAAAGTCTGTGTCACTCTTATCTCCAATTAACCACCAGAAAACCAGAAGTGACCCTGTGGCTCAAGTGGTAGAGCAATAACTCTGAGGGACAGCGTCCAGGTCCAGAGTTCAAGTCCCATGACCAACAACAATAACAATAAAAAATTAGAGACTAGCTAGGCCCAAGTGGCTCACACCTGTAATCCCAGCTACTCAGGAGGCTGAGATCTGAAGATCACAGTTCAAAGACAGCCCCAGCAGGAAAGTCCATGAGACTCTGGTCTCCAATTAACCACCTGAAGACCAGAAGTGGCACTGTGGCTCAAGTGGTAGAGCACTTGTCTTGAGCTAAAGGGACAGCGCCCAGGCCCAGATTTCAATCCCCACAACCTACAAAAACCAAAACAAAATTTTATTCACACTATATTAACTTTTTTTTTCTTTTTTTCTTTTTGGTCCAGTAGTGGGGCCTAAACTCGGGGCCTGGGCGCTGTCCCTCAGCTCTTCAGCTCAAGGCTAGCGCTCTACCACTTGAGCCACAGCGCCACTCCTGGCTTTTTTCTTTTTGCGTATGTGGTGCTGAGGAATCGAACCCAGGGCCTCAGGCATGCAAGGCAAGCGCTCTACCACTGAGCCACCTTCCCAGCTCTCATACTATATTAACTTTATCAACTCATTGCTACAGCAGATAAAGAAGAATGGGTAGCCAGTTGCTGATGGCTCATGCCTATAATTCCTACTCAGGAAGCCAACCTGGGCAAGAAAGTTTATGAGACTCTCATCTCCAGTGAATCAGTAAACTAGACTAGACAGGGAGCTGTAGTTCAAATGGTAGAGAGCTAGCCTTGAACAAAAAAGCCAGGCCCTAACTTCAATCTTCAGTATCAGCACAAAAAGAAGGAAGAGGAAGAAAAGGTGGAGGAGGAGGAGGAGGAGGAGGCATCGCATGAATAGAGGAATACAGACTTTCTGTTCAATGAAAAGCTGGCAAACAGCTTACCTCTTCTGATTGCTCCCGGGTCTGTGAAGGTGAAGATCTTCTTCCCACAGTAAGTCGATGGCAGGGATAAGACAACCCTGATTCAGCAAGACACATCTGCAGAAAGCAAAATTATTATTTCATTATCATCATCATTTAGCAGTACTGGGGTATAAACAAATCATCATTATATTATTTAGCCATATTGGGGTGTGAACTCAGGGCCAAATCTATAAAATTCTATAGTACTTGGCTGGTACTCTACTACTTAAGCAAAATCTCAAGTCTAGCTTTTGTGGAGAGTCTCATGGACTCTAATGCTGGCTTCAAACTACAACCCTCCAATTCTCTGCTTCCTAAGTAGCCAGTAGCTAGTCACCAGTACCCTGGCACAGAATTAATTAATTAATTTATGTCAGTTGTGGGACTTGAACTCTGGGCCTGGGTACCATCCCTCAGCTCTTAAGCTCTAGGTAGCATTCTACCACTTGAGCCACAGTGCCACTTCCGACTTTTTCTGTTTATGTGGTGCTGAGGAATCGAACCCAGGGCCTCGTGCATGCGAGGCAAGCACTCTACCACTGCGCCACTAGAATCCATTATTTTAAACAAAATGTGATCATTCTTCATAATTTACTTTTTAGATATTGTGCTCTATTATTTTAAAACTTGACTAGAAAGCTTACTCTAGGAGCCTAAGAGTTGCATCAACAAGAAGATTTTGAAATTTATATATTTTTTCCACTGTAATAAAGGCTAAATTTCAGGAGAAGACAGATGGTGATACAGAAAATAAGGCAAAAACTATACATACTTTCCCCTTCAGTGCATGTTGCTATTTTTCTGATTAGCAGAATAATACCTTATATTCCTACTCCTAAGCACAGTAAGGTTGTCAGGAACAATGATTGCTGAAAGTATTTTCTGTTTGTTTTTATTTTTAGTGCAGAGTTACAATGTCATTTATGTTTCAAGTAGTACTAACATATAACTTTAGATATTATTAAAGTTTATATCTGGGCACTGGTGGCTTACTCCTATAACCTTAGCTACTTAGAAGGCTGAAAATGGAAGGATTAAGGTTTGAAGCAAGCCTGGACGGCAAAGTGGTGAAACTCCTTCTCAACTAAAAGTTGGGAGCAGTGGGATGCACTTGTCATCCTAAACTACATGAAATGATGAGACTGGGATGACTGTGGTTCCAGGTCAACCTGGGCAGAAAAGCCTATGAGACTATACCTCTGTGGAAGGGAAGTACAGACTTAATTTCCAGTCACACTAATCTTCACAATAATTTTCATTTGGAAAAATATTCTCCAGAACTCTGAAATCCTCTGGTAACAAAACCATAATGGTGGCATAATGGTGGTAAATATCACTGACAACCAAATGCCGAGTAGTACAACGGACAGACACCTGGGCCAGGTACAAGAGAGCTGCCTAGTCTCCTGATATTAGGAAAGCCATCTCTCCTTGAGAGGCCACACTTTTCTTACTTGGTGATTGGGGTTACCTTTGCCTTGGCTATCTTACTAGACTTTTGAAAGGGTTAAACATGGCATGCTAAGTGAAAGCTGGGTTTGAAACTACACTGACATAGGCTGTTATTTCAACAATCACCATTTTTAGATCTCATGAGAAGAGACATGGTGATTAACTTCTTTTTTTTATTGTAAAGGTGATGCACAGAGGGATTACAGTTATAACTTCTTTTGAACATGGCCTAATCATGTGTAAATTAAAAGGGAGGGACACATTTTCAATAAAATTACTTTATGAAATGTGACAGTGGACCAAAGTAGTATTTCTAAGTTATTATTGTAACTATGTGTATACACGTATATACACGAACATACATACGTATATGTGTGTAAACTGTAATATGTCAACACAGAAATTTTATATCTAAGCGATTCAATCAATCAATCCATCTATCTGCTAAAGGAATTGTTAGAGCATTTACAAAATAAAGCCGTGTGTGTGTGTGTGTGTGTGTGTGTGTGTGTGTGTGTGTGTACACATGTGCACAAATGAGTGAATGTGTGAGATAAAGGAAGAAAGCAAGAGAATGAGAAAGAGAAAGAGAGAGAACTGGGGCTTGAATTCAGGGCTTCATGCTATTTTCCTTTTTTGCACACAGCTGACAGTCTACCACTTGAGCTATACACACTTCAAAACTTTTGGGATTGTCTGCCCAGGCTGACTTCAAATCTTGATCCTCAGATCTCAGTCTTCTGAGTAGCTAGAATTACAGGTGTGAGTTACCATTTTTTAAATACAAAGAACTGCAGTACTTAAGATTATATTTAAAATTGAGAGAAAATGAGAGAGGGAGTGACATTGTTCCAAATGAAATAAGCTCATTACCTGACTTATGTAACTGTAACCCCTCTGTACATCATGTTTACAATAAAAAAGATAATTTCTAATTGATCTTATCCACTATCAATGATAGAAATTTAAGGGTGGCAAGTTATATTTAGACATAATGAAAAGTGACCAACAAAGTAAATTTGCCCTGGTAAGTAATCAAAGGAAAAGGCAAGCATTTATTTGTTGATTGCTTTTTTTAAAGCATTATTTAGGAGATAGTTGAGCATAGGGCAAACTTTTTTCTTTCATTAGCATATATTAATTTTAACTTTTAATAGAGTATCGTGTGCTATATCACACACAAAGAACATTTGTTGATAAAATCTATAATGGACTTTTAGAGTAAAAGATGTAACTTTACTTCTACACTGAATATTTTACATCTCAATCTTTTGTTTCTTCTATAAAAAGTTGTTATTCACTTGTTAACAGGCTTTCTGTTAGAATAGCTTAAATGAGACTTTGTCTCATAGTATACATTCCATCACTGAGGATATATTCTTAAAAGTTGAATTTTTTATTCCTATAAAAATATTTAGTAATGTATTAAAAACATAGTAAATATACCAATTACTTTCAAAGTATGATCTCCAGATACAAGGTTATTGAGATCATTTCAAAGGATTCATGGAGTCAAAATTATAATAATACTTAAGTAGCATATGGTATTTTTGTTAATACATTAATGATAGAAAAAAAAGTGATGGAAAGCAAACCTGCTGGTACCTGAAGGCAAATCATAAAAGTATTAAAATTTTCGTCACCTCTATTCACTGTAAATATGCCAATGTCAGTTAAGGATGCCCTGGTGAATCAGCAAAAACCTATTATTTCATATTAAATCTTCAGTCTTATTATCTTTTAATATTCTATGTGATAAAAGGGAAGTATGAATAAAGGACTCCTGTGTACTGACATATAAGAGTTGTGTTGAGAAAAGGTTGGTTATGTGTTTAACAAAGTACTGTTTTCATGAAACACCATTACTACTTAAAAACATGATTGGCAGAAACTGGTTATATGGATTTGAACACTTCACAGGTTCACACACACACTGAATGAAGTGAGTCTACTACTTCAAGGAACTTGTCCAACAGTATTAATTGGCTAATGACAAAACTGGAGTTTTCAAATAAGAACAAAAAATGTGGAAAATTATCAGGTATCATGAGCATGAAAACTTCTCAATGCTTGAAGACTTTTATGGTGAAATCAGTGGTGGTAAAAAAACATGTAATTTTTTACTATATAATGAAATATCCTAAAATTTAGAAAATATGCATAACTCTGAGAATTAATATTCTTACAAGGAAAAATAAAAACACAATATTATAAAATTATGCTTAGGTTAGGGATTGAGCCAAAATGAAAAGCAGACTGATGGATCTTGCTAAAAGTAAGAGTACACTGATTTGATTTTAATAATCTTCCTAACTAGATAGTTCTGACACTTTAGCTTTAATATTTACATATATATTTAAAAACAAATTTAAAAATCATTCTCTACATCTACCCAGAACATCAATAGCCAGAATACTGTAAAGACACTTGCAGGTCCATGTTCACTGATCCACTATTCACAAAAGCCAACTTGCATAAACAGCCCAGATGCCTACAGTAGATGAGTGGATCCAAAAAATGTGGTACCTAGACACAATGGAATTTTACACAGCCATTAGAAAAAATATTATGTCATCTGCAGGGAAATGGATGGACCTAGAACAAATTATATTAAGTGAGGTAAGCCGTCAGAGAGAGAAACAGCACAAAAGGCAGAACAAGATAAATCAGTTACTACTACATGGCAAATTTAACTCTAAAGGTTATAGAATTTTCTTCTATATCGTCTTCCCAACACAAAGCCTTTTATTCATAAGCAGCTCTGAAGAAGACAGTTGAATTTGAAAATTTCAATTACTGTTCAGATAGATAGATTTTATTGAGGCAGTTTTAAGCCAAACTGAGTCATGGGGCTAAAACTGCATTTACTATTAAACCAGAATACAAATACAAAAAAGCGTATTTATTTTTATTCACAATCTAACCCCTCTACCCCACCCCGTCCCTTGCTTGCTTTTGAGTCACTTGTGTGCTAGAAAAGTCGCAGAGCTTTAATTTGTGGCAGGTTGAAGCAAGCTTATTAACAATGCTAGTTACCAAGTGCATATCCACTTGTCTGGACTAGCCCACTGCCACATTCTTGTAGCAGGGTTAAACAACAGTTTAGTCACTTCATAAAAAAGCACACTGTTAAAAAGGAAATGACTAATAATAATCTGGAACCAACGGAATATTAAACGAGATGTGCAGGTCAAGATCAATTATCTACAAAACTCCTGAGTAAATAGCTTACAAAACTGTGTTCACCATATGGCCTTGCTATGTTATAGTCTTCAATTGATTTGGCAAGTTGGTAATGTTTAATGAAATAAACATCAACAGTAACAAATTCTGAGGCTTTATGCTAAAGACATAAACACAAATACTACCATGTGAATAAATAGAGTTGGAAAAATAAGGATACCTGCTATATATGGTTTGAATTTAGACCTTAAGATTAATAATAGAGTTGGGAAGGTCCTTAGAATTCATCACTTACTGATGTCCCAACTAGGCGACTACAGCTCTTGAACACTTTAGCTGAATCAAGTGAAGTTCACACATTTTTGCCTCCATTCCACTGTAAGCTAGTAATAAGATTTTCCAGATAATGGAATAAGGCCTACTCTTAAAATTAGTAGTTC